AAACAATTTAGACACTCAAAATTAAGTTTTTCCATATAATCAGCATTTCGATATGTGAAGAGTTTCCTTTCAAAACTGCTAATATATTTGTGCTTTTCCTCAATTTACATGTAATTTTGACTTGCTGTTCTTTTGTCTCTTCAGCAGGTAATTGCTACCATGGAAACACAGCTGTCCAATGGACCAACGTGCAACAATACGAGCAACGGTCCTTCATCAATTTCGAACAACTGCTCCTCGCCTGTAGAGTCGGGGAGCATAGAGGACAGTAAAACTAACTTGATAGTAAACTACCTGCCTCAGAACATGACACAGGAAGAGCTGAAGAGTTTGTTTGGGAGCATCGGAGAAATTGAGTCCTGTAAACTWGTCCGAGATAAAATAACAGGTAACTTTGCTGCTGCTGTGTGYGAGCCGGAGCAGTTTTTTAATGATTTTTCTGCTCATATTGACCTCAGATTATTGTCCATGAGATATTTTTGTTCATGCTAAAAGCTTCACGTTGCATGCACAGTAGTTTTGTTTGTGTGTTCAGTTATATAATGGACTGCTGAACATCATTCAACTTTTCAACATCTAATTATAAGCAGTTGGCACATTCAGCTATAAAACTGCTTCCTTCTACCAATTATTTAGCTTATCAGGCATGAACATATGGACTGATATTAGGTGCCATAAACACAGATTCTATTAATAAGATTTTTGTCGTACTGGCTCCTCAAAAGAAGCTGCCTGTTWAGAMATATTTCCTGCGTTTTACTTKGTATTCAACTTGTAAATGAGWTTAGGTTGTTTTTAATAGGGGGGAATATATTCTGCAGAGGTTGTTACTGATTCTGTGTGACAGGAGCAGGGTGATAATAGCTCAGGCTGCTGGAGTTTTAACTGCTTGCTGTTTCGGTCAAGGTTACTCAGACCTTCATGTTCAGTGGAGAAGCTATAACAGCATCTTTTCCTTTCTGCTTCTGGTGAAACAWTAAGTCAGTGTGCAGAAAGTTGTAGTGTAGAGGCTGGAGGATGAGTTTATTCAATATGTGCAAAATTCTTTGATCGGAACAAAATGTATTCAGATTAAATAATCCAAATCACTTATATGGACACAAAATTACTAGATAAGAAAACTTTATTGTCATTGTACAAAGTACAATGAAATTGCAGTCTGATTATGACAAGCATTTACATGCACCAGGTTTTTAGTCAGAATAGAAGTACTGACATGCTCAGTGTTGTAAACTTTCCTTTAAAAATATTTAAAAAGTGTTTCTATTTCTGGGTGATATGGCTTAAAAATGTGTCACCGTGTACATGTTTCATATCAGTCTATAATTGTTGTTGTAGTAATAATAAAAATAACAATAATAATAATAATCTAACCAGGCAGAAATGCACCAGGTTGGCACACAGGTYAGGTTTAAGTGTTTACATGCACACTGTTGGGATTATCAATCAGCACCACCCCTCTCATTCAGTTTACAAATTCATTCCAATAAAGATGAATCGGATTAGAATATTCAGATTGGGGWATTTACATGGCACATTTTTATTCTGATTACCTGTGTACATGTAAACTTAGCTAGTGTGACTGCAGATGATTGTTTTCAGTGCATCCAACTACAGCTGGCCTTTAATATTCATGACAAAATCTTCACATATATTACGGTTTGRTGCTTTGTTTTGAARCCACAGATTAGTTGTATTTTTCAGTACAGTTTAAGGGAAAGAAWTGTGTGTACAGACCATACACTTGGCTACATGTAGACATAAAGCAGAAGCTTTGGATGAATCGTGGATGACTTTTAGCTACACTTCATATGATTTGGTGCCTATAGTTGCACGTCTGCTGCTCTGCAAACTCCTGAAGAATGATTTAAATTTGGCTCGAGTTGTGAGTAAGGCCAATAGCTTGGTTTGAACATCTTTTAGACCTAAAAGTACATGGAGTATTTTCACTTAAAACAACTAAACAGTGAGCTGGTTGTAGTTGCTGCTGTATAATTTTCCTACTTGGTAATTAAGTATATAAAGATAAAAGGCATGGCCATATGCCCGTCTTTTATTTCTATTTTATTTGGAAACACATTTCATTCTCCATCACTGTAGTTGACTAGGAAACTGTCCTCAAGCTCTTCGGTCTGTCCTACAATGTCGGTTTTGCTTCATGTTTTTAAATGAAGCATTGTTTTTACAAAACAAAGCTGCATTTGTTTGTGTTCCAATCCAATGTGTTCCAATCCTAAAAGCCCACACCGAAACCTTTTAGTATTTAGTAGGGCTGTGTATTGGAAAGAATTTGGCGATACATATCATAACAGAGGGGTCACGATACGATATATCCCGATATATTGCGATACTGTAAGTAAGGCGATATATTGTGTTCCAATCCAATGTGTTCCAATCCTAAAAGCCCACACCGAAACCTTTTAGTATTTAGTAGGGCTGTATATTGGCAAGAATTTGGCGATACATATCATAACAGAGGGGTCACGATACGATATATCCCGATATTTTGCGATACTGTAAGCAAGGCGTTATATTGCGATTTTTTTGTCCAAAAATTCTATTAAATAAAAACCTCTTACTGAAAAAAAAGAAAAGCTAATGTTTACTTACAATGCTAATGCCACCCTTACTCTCTGGTGCTCAAGAGGTAGAGGAGCCAAATGGTTGGCTCACTGCTGCCAACTAGTGGTCAGAGGCTGAACTACAACATAAAAATGAACGGTTGGCAAGAAGGTTGACTTTTTAAAACTTAATAAAAAATCGATACAGGGCTTTAGAATATTGATACAGTATCGGGAAATGAAATATCGCAATATTTCAGTGTATCAATATTTTCTTACACCCCTAGTATTTAGTGTTACACAGTAAGTTTAGGTGTAGCTGATTATCATAAATTTTCCCACAGTTCTGTTGATGGCTTTCAGTACGTTAAAGGCTTAAAAGCTAACACTCTCAGCTGCAGAGCCTTTATCTGGAAATGTGTAGAAAACAGGACACAAGTTAAAGATTGAGACAAAAGGTTGAGGGTCTTGTTTYACATGCAGACTTAATGAAAATTGTCAAGTATTGTTCTTCAGCTTTAAATGCTCTTGTGCAGCCATTCATATGAGAAATGTTTGATTATTGTATGAAATGGGTTGAGCTGAATTGAGAAGTGAAAATGTGTTCAAACTAAGTGTTAAGAACATTTTGATTAGTCATAAAGCAGCCTTGATTCGCTGCATATTTAGCAAAAAGAAAGGAAAAAAGTAACAGTAACCCTGAAAATGACTTGAGGGCAGGAAACTAAATGAAATAAGTTGTTTGAAATCAGCAAAGCCCTTGAGTGAACATATAAAGCACTACAGCTGAACACCTGCAGTAAAAGTGGAGCAGAGAAAATAGATTCTGTACAGGGGATAAACTTTTAGGGTTTGAAAAAAATAGAGCTTCCTCATATTCAGTGTAATGTTTCAAAATTAGGCTTCATTCTAATTAAAATTAAAGCTTATTAACATTTTATTTGTTTGCTGCCTCGGCGTGGAAGCTTGTTCATTTTTTCTATCTGTTCATGTGTTGGATATAAAGAACAATAACATGGAGTTATACTGGTAATTTTATTTAAAGTAACATTTAAAAAAATGGTCTGTTTTGTGCTCTAAAAGCCAGCAAGAGATGCAAATTAGTTTAGAGTAAATGTCTGACATCTAAAATCCTGTTTTTAATCAAATTTAATTCCATAAAACTGAACTGATAGTCAGTGTTGCAGACATTTACAGGCTGTTTAATTCAGCCTGATGAGCGAAGCTGACCATAAATTTAAGATCAATCCAGCCTCTCTTACCAACATTATTATAAATTTAACAGATAAAGGAAGATTTTTAAAATTCCTTTTCAACTTTAAGACTTGAATTGGGTTGGGAAAAATTACATCCTTAATATTATTCAAAGCCTCAAAGTTATTTCATWGGATTGGTGCTCTGATTTCTCAGCTCTACATAAACCCCTCTTTTCCCTCCAGACTGTATTCCTTTTGTCTCTTCCTTGGCCCTGTGGCGATGGATTTAAGCCAGCCTACATCAGTATACGGTTGCTACATCAGATGTTTAGTAATCACCAGAGAGATGTGCTTCCTCTTTGCTTGAAATGTTTATGCTTTGGCTGCTGCAGCAGRAAAGGCTTAGTCTTTTCCTCCCACTATGAGCATCACCAGCGCTCAACTGGAATATGGGTGTTGCTGTTTTGAAAATGTATCTTAACAAGTCTTTTTGACAGCTAAAAGTGAGCAAGTTATTATTTTTTTAAATGGCTCTTGGTTTTAAAAGATACAATTATGTTCTATAGAAAAACATGATAGTACAGTGGGTGTTTTTACCCCCCAGGCTTAAGTGAACGTGTCATTTCACAACACGTTTAAAAAGCTTGACTGACTGGAGGTTTGGTCCAGCTCTGCAAGGTGAAACTGAGTTCATGAACTTTACATGATCACAGGGACGCTGCATAGAAATGGTGTCTTAGACCCAGTTCTTTAAAGCAGGGCTAATCAACTGTTGGCATTAAAATACAAATTTTGATTTTTTTTTTAAACTTAATATAAAAACTGATTTCAAATCGTTTTCAAATGTAAAATTTATGATTCAATACAACAAATTAATTTACTGTTTTTATTCAAGTATAATACGAAACATTAAATCCATAAAATCATTTTGCTAATGTATTTTAACTGACGTATCGGCCTCATTCACAAAATGCCTGAGTCCGGAAATGAGACCGCGTCATAAAAAGTGTTTGAATCGAGCTTACCTCTGACACTCCTTCATGCCTCCGAGCGAGATAGTAACAGATCCAAGCAGGCAGCAACACGGAAGTAGAGCTGAACGTTTACAACACTGCGCACGTCCGGACTTTTATTCTGAATAAAACTCCGGTGCATGTAAACACTTTTCATG